ACACCAAAACACACACACACAGACTTACACACACACACACGCACGCGCGCACGACACACACAACACACATACACACGCACGCCACGCACACACACACACACACACACACACACACACACACACACACACACGCCACGCACGCACGCCCACGCACGCACACACACACACACACACACACACACACCACACAAACAACACACACACACGGGGAGAGGGAGCGCGCGAGTCGCGGTGTAATTCGCTTCACAGAGAGCTGCGGCGACAATTAGCGTGCGACAAGATTCGAGCAGACGCCCCGGCTAAATACGTAACGATGTCGCTATAGCTGCTTCTGCTGCTGCTGCTGCTCGCTGCCTGATGCTGCTGCTGCTGATGCTGTGCTTTGCTGCTACTCTGCTACTGCTGCTGCTGCTACTGCTGCTGCTGTTACTGCTACTGACTGCTGCTTGCTACTGCTTGCTGCCTACTGCTACTGCTGCTGCTGCTACTGCTGCTGCTGCTAACTGCTGCTGCTGCCTGCTGCTACTGCTGCTACTGCTACTGCTGCTGCTGCTTACTGCCCTACTGCTGCTGCTTTGCTGGCTGCTACTCTTAACTGACTGTCTCCTGTCTGCTTGCTGCTGCTGCTGACACTGCTGCTGCTGGCTGGCTGCTACTATGCTGCGCGCTACGTGCTACTGCTGCTGTTGCACTATCTGCTGCTGCTGCTGCTGTCTGCTGCTGCTGCTACTACTTTACTTTTTTTTTTTAATGCTGACTGCTGCTGCGTGCTACTACTGCTGCTGCTGCCTACTGCTATGCTGCTTTGACTGCCTACTACTGCTAAGCTGCTGCTGCTGCTGCTGCTAACTGCTGCTGCTGCTGCTGCGACTACTGCTGCTGCCTGCTTGCGCTAACTACTGCTGCTGCCTACTGCTTGCATATACTACTACTGCTACTGCATGTCGCTGTGGCTGTTGCCTGCTGCCTTGTGATGCTGCCTGCATGCTGCTGCCGCCTGCCGCCGCCCGCCGCTGCGGCTGCGTGGCGCACGACGCGCACACACTACTGCGACGCGATGTGGTGCGCCAACATGATATTACACGGCTGAAACCGATTTTTCACTAAACTCCAACAACCGGGTGTCTTGTGTAGTTGCATAATGCGTGTGCTTGCGAGCGGGTTGTTACCTTTCTTGACTGTGTGTGGTGCACGTGCGTTGCGTGCCGTGCGTGCGTGCGCTGGCGCGCGCGCGCGCGCGCGTGGTGTGTGTGTGTGTGGTGTGTGTGTGTAGTGTGTGTGTGTGTGTAGTGTGCTGCATGTATGGGGGCGCAGCGTGTGTGCATGTGTGTGCACGTGTGGAGGCCGAGGTGCGGGTGGGCGTGGTGGGTGACGCCGAGTGTTGTGTGCGCGCGTTTCAGATCCTCCTAAGGTATTGTATTCGTCTGCTCTTTGTGCGGCTAATCGGCTGACGGTTATCGTGGTATTAACCCTCCAGCAAATGATTATGATTACATTGAGCGCTGCATGAACGTGTGGAAGGTGATCGTGATTATATTATAACGCGACGACGATGCACGACAAAGAATCGTCGATCCTGACGGATGCCGATGACGACGTAACGACAAACAAGGGGCCAAACCTTCGCGTTATAACCCGCCTCTCCTCATCCTCATTCCTATCCTTCTCTCTCTCCTTCTCTCTATTTTTCCTCTCCAACAGCGACGACTCTGCATCACCTGCGCGTGCCGTATCGATCGTCGCGCCAATGCGACAGACGCGCATGCGCACACGCGATCGGCTCCCGCCGCTGCGCTCTGCACAAATTATACGGCGGAGCTTAACGACATTGTATACGCGTGGAGCGTGCCATTAAAGCCGCCGCGTTGCCGGAGCAATCCCATAAAGTCTTTACGCCAGATCGGCAGCATTAGTTGGGGATGAGCAAGGGAGAGGGCGGAATTAGCGGGGGTCACTCGCCCTAGCCTGCCCAGCGTCGCGGGCCGCATGCCGGCCGCAATCGATGCGTAAACCTCGTAAATCTCTTTGTTTATTGGCGGCAGTGTTGTTTTGATCGTTGAAGCACGTTGGTCGTGGTTGCGCGCTTAGGTGGGCTGCGGCTAGTTAGGGGGCTTGGTGGAGAAGGGGAGAATGAATGCAAAAAATAACTACATATTTTACCCGGTTAATGTATAAATAAATGAAGTATCCACGGATAGATAGCAGCGAAAAATAGGGATAGATAAAAAAATAGAATAGATAGATAGATATTCGGCAAAAATAAAGAGACAGATAATAGATAGATAGATAGATATTCGGCAAAATAAAGGGATATATAATAGATAGATAGATAGATATTCGGCAAAAATAAAAGGGATAGATAATAGATAGATAGATAATTGGATTAAAAATTTAATAAATACTTACAATGAAGTAGTAATAAGTACACTCCCCTCCCCTCTTCCACGCGCTGCGCATGCCTATCACACTCCCACAATTACCGTGCGGTGCAGCTAAGTCTGACATTTGCTGAACGCTATGGAATGTGTCCGCGCGCGGCTGAGTGTGTTTGCCGAAACCCCTATTGGCCTCGCTAACCTTGAGGCCTACTCGCTTAGACTAGCGTCACATTGCTTGAAATCTTTAGAAAAATGTCTGATGATTTCTGAAGGTAGGAATATTTTTCGATAACAATGATTTTGCGATTAATTCATGCAGAATGTTACGACAAATAGTCAACGAAAAATTCATGGCGAAATATTTTTTGTGTACACCTCTGTATATCTAAATATGCTAACTTTAATTCGTGAGCTGGCTTCACCATTTTGCTGTTACCTGATTCGCTGCAGGTGTCCACGTGGTTTGCTAACTGTTTTGCTATCACCTGATTCGCTGCAGGTGTCCACGTGGTTTGCCAACGCCCGCCGACGTCTTAAGAAGGAGAATAAGATGACGTGGTCGCCTCGATATCAGTCCGGCGGGGATGAGAAAAATGACAGCGACAACGAGAACGACGAGGGAGACAGCAACAACAACACGAGTAACAACGACGACAGAACGGCCAACGACAGCCTAGGTAAGCGCGCAGAACGACCGGCGTCACAGTCATGCGTGTCGCACTGTCGTGTCGCAACCATCTAACCTCCGTGTGATCTCTGCGTGTCCAGGGTTTGTGACGTGAGCCATGTGTCACATGCGTGACCTATGCGTAACCTATGCGTGACCTAATGCTCGACACCTGTGTCCGAGCCGTGGGTTATCTATGTGTCACTTGTGTTCTTCACGATCAACCTCTAGGAGTTGTGCAGCAGTTAAACTCGTGTCCTATCTTCGGTTTTACTAGATGTAAGCATGACACGGTTTGTGTGTACGTACCCTGCATTGCTATGAGTCATACACTAAACCCATGGTCCCTTTCGAACAATCATCGCTTCCAGCAGCTTTGCTAGCGTATGATATATAGGCCTATTCGTGAAAGGAGAACAATTAAAGAGACACTAATAATTCTGAGACGAAACGATCGCTCACTTGCAGGTTCGGAGAGCGACACGGGCCGTGACGACAAAGATGGCACCATGAAGCCGTGCAACAAGAACGACCGTGGCGCCCCCACGCGCGGCGCGCCACCACGCGTCAACGCACTCGGCCTCAGTCTGAGTCACGCGTCGTCGGCTCCCGGCTCCGTCAGCTCGGCGTCCAGCGACGACAACTCGATGACGTCACCGACGGGTGCCGTGCCGCTTACCTCAGTAACTCACGGCGCGATGGCGCTGGCGTCGGGCGGCGCCAACGACGGCGGTACGGCGAAGCCGAAGATCTGGTCGCTGGCGCACACGGCGACGTCGGAGAGCCCGCCGACGATGCGACGCAGCCCGCCGATCGGCATGCCCTCGCAGCTACAGGGTATGGCTTCACTCAACTCGCCCGTCAACAACCTGCAGCAGTGGATGAACGGCATGTTCCACAACTCGCACCACCCGGCCGCCGCCGCGATGAGTCGCTACCAGATACTGCCCGGCATCAACGTCAGCTCGGTAGGCGGCGGCGCCACGGGTCGGCTGGGCGCGCCGAACGCGGGGCTGTACGGCGGTGCGGCGGCGGCGGCGATCGGCGGCATCCAGAGACTCGGCTCCTTCTCCGGGACCGGAGCGCTGCAGGCCAACAACCAGGGATTGCCGAGCGCCGCCGGTCTAGGCAGCAGCGCTCTCAACTACGCCGGAAACGGGCTGACGGCAACGACGACGCTGCCAGGGGGCGCGCTGGCGAGCGGCAGCGTCGGCGTCGGCGTCGGTGTCGGCGTCGGCGTCGGCGGAGCCTCGTCGCTAGCGGCCAGCAAGTCACCACTGAGTCACCACCACACGCACGAGTCGATGACCAGCGGTCAGGGCTTGACTGCGGTGAGCGCCGGTCTGCGGATACCGATGTCCAGTCCGCCGTCGTGCAGTCTTAGCCAACGGTCGCATCTAGACAATTTGTCCGGTAAGTGTCTTCACGCGTGTATACGTGCGGGCGACTCTCTTTCTATTCTGGTAACTCTCTCCCATCTCTCCCCCCCCCTCCTCTCTCTCTCTGTGGCCAAATCGAGAGGACCTAGAGGAGAGGGTGCTTGTGCGTCACAGGCCAACACTTGTACATCAAGCTCTCGCCCCACCCTTATACTGGCTTCACTCAAACGCCTACCCACCATCTTCCAAATGTCAATGCCAAGCGACTCATTTTCACTGGACGCTGCTCGTTCCAAGGTCACCTGGCTTGCTCCCAAGGTCACGTATCGCCCCCACCCATTCTTGTGGCTTTAGTCAGTACTCAGTCCGCGCGCACGCTCCGCACGTAGGCGGGAAGGGGGCAGAAAGGCGGTCTGTACAGCTATAAAACCGGCGGGCCAGCAATTTTTGATATTTACGACGAGTGTCGACTCGTTAATGCTACCCGTGTTTACGATAACGCAAACCGGATATATGCTCGCGCCGCGCTCGCTGCGCCGTTACGATGCACTCTAATATAGTTGTTAGATGGTAATCGGAGAGTAGCATGACCGCCCGAGGCGCACCCCCGCGGCTACCACCGCTAACATAGATCCATCTTCGGCGGCTAGCCCGCATGCATGTATGCATTCATGCCGATGTGCTATAGCGGCAGCGACGCGTCTTGTGTCAATGTCATTCACTCCCCACAGACATGTAGAGATGAAGTGAGAGGTAATATTCTTCTTCCCACCCATTTGTTATGCTAACCACGATTGCCGATATAACTGTTTAACCAGTCTTCTTCTTGTTTGCGTGTAGTGGACAGCGATCCATCCTTGCTTCCTAACAGGTATGTTTACACACTCACCTGCACCGAGCACGTACCGCGGGCCGGCCAGACAGGTATATTAAACTTGTGCACACTTAGGCAACCCGCGATGAGAAGCAAAAATTTCTGGCGAGCACTCTTACTCGTGCAAGAATTCTTTCGTTTACTTATCTAACTCGCGCGTGTGCCGGTAGATATGTTATATATACGACGATACGAAGCGATAACTGCTGGATACACCTGTAATATCATCTGTGTTTACCTGTAAAGAGGTGGCTCCATAGGGGCGGGGACAAGGGGCTACAGGCCCTCTACATGGCATACATCCGATATATATGTATGTATATATTATATAATACACATTCTTACCTTGCGTACAGGCGCGAGTACGTCTAGCAGGAGTGACGCAGTTAACATGGTGTTTGTTGTTTATGCGCAATGTAGAATTGGGAACATTTGCTATAAGGGGGATGTAAATCACGCTACATTTCCCTGCGGATATACTAGGAAACAGGTCGCTCTTCGCTTGTAGCGTTGAGATTATAGTTGCAGTAACTGAACGTGAAAATGTGAAAGAACTGAAACGGAAGGACAGTATGAAAACAAGCAGCAGGGCTGTATTATTAGTACATGTGATATGTTACAATATAAGTATAGTATAGTAAGATAGTGATAGATGTAACAATTATACCCAGCTAAAAATACGCTAAGGAATCAGTTTATAAACCGTAAAACTTTTGTAAAAAAGTTTTGGTTTCTCTGGTGCTAGATGGCTTTTGGCACTCTACTCGTACGTCTACACGTGTCGTACTCTTTACAGGTAATCACAGATGATAGTACAGGTGTATCCAGCAGTTATCGCTTCGTATCGTCGTATATATAACATATCTACCGGCACACGCGCGAGTTAGATAAGTAAACGAAAGAATTCTTGCATGAGTAAGAGCGCTCGCCAGAAATTTTTGCTTCTCATCGCGGTCGGTGATCATAACCCTTTCCCCTCGGAGACGTCAGATACTGTGTCGGAGAATCTCTGCTGCTAATCATTGCGAGAAGAAACCTTCACGGTTCATCACGCTAGAAAATGCGTAGGATTGCTACAGGTAAACTATATATGTCAGCCTTGCCTCTAATTATGCACTATGCTCTAGTTATATGTTCTATTATGCGCCTTTTACTTGTGTACGTTTCGATTTCGGGTTTTTGTGAATTTATTGCATGTCAATTGAGTTTAACCCATATCTGATAGATTTATACGTTAGTTTGGCAACACGCAAACCTTCGGGGTAAGTTCAAACGTGATTGGGCGAGGTTGGACGACTTTAGATGGTTAACCAGCATAAAAATGCAGAGATGCTGTCAACCGATATCTGTGTACGTACGTGTATTATCGTACGTATCCGCCAAGGCATTGTTCGAATAAACGAACACACACACACGCACACACACACAGTGTGTGTGTGTGTGTGTGTGTGTGTGTGCGTGTATGGGGGCGCAGCGTGTGTGCATGTGTGTGCACGTGTGTGAGGGGGGAGGTGCGGGTGCGTGTGGGTGAGCGCGAGTGTGTGTGCGCGGCCATGTCAGATCCTCCTAAGGTATTGTATTGTTGCTCTTTGTGCGGCTAATGGTGACGGTTATCGTGGTATTAACCCTCCCAGCAATGATTATGATTACATTGATGCTGATGACGTGGAAGGTGATCGTGATTATATTAAACGCTGACGACGATGCCAACGACAAGAACGTCGATCCTGACGATGCCGATGACGACAGTAACGACAACAAGGGGCAGAACCTTCCGTATAACCCCGCCCTCTCCTCATCCTCATCCTATCTCTCTCTCTCCTTCCTCTCTATTTTTCCTCTCCAACAAGCCGACGACTCGCATCACCTGCGCGTGCCGTATCGATCGTCGCGCCAGCCGACAGACGGCGCATGCGCACACGCGATCGGCTCCCGCCGCTGCGCTCTGCACAAATTATACGCGGAGAGTTAACGACATTATACGCGTGGAGGTGCATTAAGCCGCCGCCGTTGCCGGAGCAATCCCATAAAGTCTTTACGGCAGATCGGCAGCATTAGTTGGGGATGAGAAGGGGAGTAGTGCGGAATTAGCGGGGGTCACGTCGCCTAGCCTGCCCAGCGTCGCGCGCATGCCGAGCCGCATCGCATGCGTAAACCTCCGTAAATCTCTTTGTTTATGCGGGCAGTGTTGTATTATCGTTGAAGCACGTGGTCGTGGTTGCGCGCTTAGGTGGGCTGGCGGCTAGTTAGGGAGGCTTGGTGGGAGAAGGGGAGAATGAATGAAAAAATACTTACATATTTACCCGGGTTAATGTATAAATAAATGAAGTGATCCACGGATAGATAGGCAGCAAAAATAAAGGGATAGATAATAGATAGATAGATAATTGGATTAAAAATTAAATAAATACTTACAATGAAGTAAGTAATAAGTACAAATAAGTACAAAGTACAACATAAAGTACAAGTATAAGTATAAAGTATAAGTATAATAGTAATATAGTAATACAAGTGTAAGTATAAAGTACAAGTACAGATAAGTACAAGTAAGTACTTACAATGAAGAATAGATCTAGTCTAGATGTGTATACGTTAGTATGAAAAATATGACATGTAACAAAATTACAAAGAAAAGTCCAATAAAGGAAACTAGAAAGATAGGGAGAGAGGATGAGAGAGAAAAAGGGAGAAAGAAGTAGAACCGGAAGTGTAAGAGAAAGTGAGAGAGAGAGAAAGACGGGGAGTGAGAAAGATGTAGAGATAGAAATATAAGAGAAGGGGGAACATAGACAGATGGTGGGAGAGTATATCTCATGACTATATCATCTCATGGCTACATATAATAACAAGTCCCACGCCCAACATGGCCTAGCGGTATAATCACAATATGATTAGCACGTACCAGAACGACCCCCCCCCCACCCCGAACACACACATAGGCTCGATGCAGGCGCATGGGCGGCTCACATCAACATATATACATCTGACTGCATACTCAACTGGGGTTACGCCTTAGCTGCAAGCGTAAATACACGATGAATGCACGCGAAAACATGCGGCTACCTAGGCGGCCGCGTCGTGTATCGCATCTAATGTAATCGTTCTTACAACGCATGCGGTCTTTCCCCGACGGCCCAGCCATTGTAATTACAACCCATGCACCGACTTTAGCCACACGCGCACGCGCATACCTCAGGGAGGAGGGGGGGGACATGGCCGAGTTTCGTGTTTGTTCATCCACGTGTAAAACAGCGGGACATGGAAGAAGGGTATGGAACAGCGAGACATGGAAGAAGGGTATGGAACAGCGGGACATGGAAAGAAGGGTATGGAACAGCGGGGACATGGAATAAGGGTAGGGAACCGCAGCATGAGTCGAGGGTAGGGAACAGCAGCAGCATGAGTCGAGGGTAGGGAGCAGCAGTATGAGTCGAGGGTAGGGAACAGCAGCATGAGTCGAGGTAGGAGTCAGCAGCATGAGTCGAGGGTGAGGGAACAACAGCAAATGAGTCGAGGGTAGGGAAAACAAGCATGAGTCGAGGGTAGGGAACAACAGGCGAATGAGTTCGAGGGGTAAGGAGCAGCAGGCAGTAATGAGTCGAGGGTAGGAAAGCAGCACATGTGAGTCGAGGGTAGGAAAACAGCAGCATGAGTCGAGGGTAGGGAACAGCAGCATGAGTCGAGGGTAGGGAACAGCAGCATGAGTCGAGGGTAGGGAACAGCAGCATGAGTCGAGGGTAGGGAACAGCAGCAGTATGAGTCGAGGGTAGGGAACAGCAAGGGCAGCATGCAGTCGAGGGTAGGGATACAGCAGAAGTAATGAGTCGAGGGTAGGGAACAGCAGCATGGTCGAGGGTAGGGAAACAGCAGCATGAGTCGAGGGTAGGGAACAGCAGCATGAGTCGAGGGTAGGGAACAGCAGCATGAGTGCGAAGGGTAGGGAATCAGGCAGCATGAGTCGAGGGTTGGAGACAGCAAGGTCATGAGTCGAGGGTAGGGAACAGCAGCATGAGTCGAGGGTAGGGAACAGCAGCATGAGTCGAGGGTAGGGAACAGCAGCATGAGTCGAGGGTAGGGAACAGCAGCATGAGTCGAGGGTAAAAGGGAACAAGGCAGCAATGAGTCGAGGTAGGGAATCGGCGGGCCAGTAGGAACGGCCG